GCATGTGATTAATGACAGGAAAACCATGGCCTCGGTTCACTTCTCTGTCGATCATCTCTGCGGGTATGCACAGCATTTCCCTTTAATCCCTGGTGGAGGAGATGTGCCGAGCTTAAACTGTGCTCAGAAATCCTTGCTCTGCGTAATACGCTGGGGCGCTTGCTCTTACCAACAGCGGTATTGCAAAGACAAAAAGTAAACAGGAGCTCATCCTCGCAGCGAGGCTTGCAGCCTGCAGAAAGGGCGGGCGTTTTCCTGCTGTCTGACTCAGACTTTCCAGACTGAAATCTTTTGGTTGCACATTAAAAGTAGCAACTGTTGCCAGAATTAGCTTCTAAATTCTGTGCTTCAGGAGAGAGCAAAATTTTACTTTAGAAAAAGCACCAGTTTGTGTGTCAACTGCCTGACTGTCCCGAAGCTGAAATGAGAGGAAAAAAATCCTTTAATTCTACTGGAAACCATGCTACGCTCCTAATAGTCATGGTGAAGGTTAAACTGGCAAATGGGTATCTCCCCAATGCAGAGCGACCAGTAGTTTCTGCTTTTTTATCTCAATAAACTAGGGCTCCTTCTTGCCTGCCATTGTATTCCAACCAGCACAGCTCCCGGCCGAGGAAAAGCACTCGCTGCTTTGCCAAGACAACATTCTTTTACATGACTAGCTCTTTCCCCTGCAGTTATTAATGTGTCACATATCATAGGCTCAGATTGTCTAATATTATGGGAAAATCTACTAGAAGGAGAGAAAAATAAAGGAAACTTCCAGGGAAATTGATTAAAGGGAAATAAGATATTTAACCCAATTTAGTGGAACAAAATACGGTCTATAATAGAAACTATTTGAATTCCTCAGATGGACACACAGTTCTTCAGTAATAAGTTTTGTTTGTTTTGCTTTTTACCACCTCGGAATATCTATTATAAGAACACGATTTTAGACTCCTTCTCTCACGCCAAGTGCAATCGCTTGCATTTTAAGGGATTCATGAGCACAGCTTGGTATCGGCAAACATGGATTATACGAAACAAGAACTGTCAGACGCTTTGGGATGGTTTAACCTGGATCCGTTAGAATAAAAACTGTGACACAGCGTGAGTGGTACTCCGCACAGTTACACTCACATCTTGCAGACACTTGCATAAAGCAGTTTTAGGTTGCCAACAGCACGGAGTAAAGCAAGCTGCCTCGCAGGTGCTACTCTGAACTTCAATGCTGCTCCTTCCCTGCTCCATGGATGCTTCAGCCAAGGAGTAGAAACACGACTCCAGAGATCGATCACTCATCAAGAAATGAGTTTCAGCTCATAGTGAAAAGTAAGTCAATGCAAATGAATAGAACTAATGCTACAGAAATTGCCTGGAAGGTTTGACAATAACGATCAGGTCCGCGAACACCAAAGCCCTCGAGTGGCTTGTTGTTGTTATGGCCGTGTTTGACGGGATGAGTTAACTCAGTAACCCTTCACGCCTGCGATTTCACACCTTCTGTGCTGGCAGCTCTGTGCTAGCAGCTCTGCGATAGCCCTGCCTGGCCCCGCAAGAGCTGATCTGCATGAGCTGGCTTATGCCTCTGCCTGAAACACGGACCTGCACGAGCAGGGATGGACGTCTGGGCACAAACAACTGCAACAACGCACAGCGTCGTGCACGACGACGAACGGCTCCGAGGCGTGCAGAGGTGCGCAGGCAGGGAGCCGGGCCAAGCAGCACGCTGCTGCGTGCGCCCGTCGGCTGCGGATCCCAGGGGCATCTCACGTGGCGCCGGCGGGGCTTGCTGCCATTTCACGGACCTGGCGTGGAGCAACACCCAGGAGAAGGGATTTTTCTCACCTCTGCAGCACCACATCTACAAGACTGGGCTTTTTATCCCTAAGTAAGTGATGGCCTGTTGCTGCAATTATCAGAGGGCTTTCCAATGCCTTTGCCTACTCAGTGGCTTCAGAACGCATCAACAGGCAACAGGCAAAAAGCTGCAAGCTGCTGAATGTGCATGCTTGTCTGAAAATGAGGTCCATTTTGAGGCATAACTGATCATTTAACAACATATCACCTCCTTGGTCCTCCCACACAGCTGCCTGGGGAGGAACTTGCTCCGGATGATGCTTTGAACCTGTGAAATCCCCTCCTAAAACCTGTCAAGTGCTGAATGTGACACAGATGAGGTGGAATCAAATTGCCGCATGAAAAGCAGATACTTCACAGTTCTTGCTTCATTGCAGCTAATGATCTGCTGACACCGGTGGGAGTTTTTAACCAGGATCAGCTTCTGCTGAGGAGAGCACTCAGATATTCTGTTGGTAGCAACAGTGCTCTTGGGGGAACCCCACTGGTAGGGAAATGGCCAGTTATCTCAAGGCTGCTACTTACTAAGGCTTTCCCGGCGGGATAGCGCCAACAGCTACCAGACAGATCTGATGGCAGAATCCCTGAGGATAAGGGTTCCCAGGTGGCCGTGTCAAAAAAAAATGAAAAACAAAGGGAAAAAAGCGAATCCCAGCAGCACCCGAAGGTGGAGGTGGGACACAAGGAGAAGATGTCACGGAGCCCCAGCGTGCCCCTTCTCGGCAGGGCACCTGAGCTTACCTGAGACACGTGCAGATTGTCTGGCAGAAACTGAGATTATCGTCGCAGTGTGATTTAGCCTGCGTTACTAATGCTGCTGAATTAATGTTTTTAACCATCTTCCCAGAACTGGGCTGAGATCAGGAAGTGCTACTGAAATGCAAAAATATTGCTAAACATGCAACATATGTCCTGAATGGCAGAGGCTTATTACTCCAGATCACTTCATGCTCTGCTTCCCATGAGTTCGAAAAGCACAGTCCTGACAGATCTCTCCAAATTGCCAATGTATCCAGTATTCCAAAAATAAAACTTACTTTTTTTTTTCTTGGGGAGCAAATACATTTTTTTCTTGTAGGAGCTTTGCTCTCTGCTATGCAGCCAACATTTTCATATTTTAATTACAAAAACCAGAAAGCTAAACCACACATATTGCTATCTCCACTCTTGGCTCTTTTATGCCCCTAAGACTCATCAAAGCAAACGCATCTCAGAGCAAATGCCCAGACATCTTCAACAAGCCTTGCAAACAGCAGTCACTGCACAGGCAAATTAGGTGTGCGCATACAATGCAGAAAGAGCTGATCTTGTTCTGCAAACCGTGACCGGATTTCTGCCTGAAAGCTCTTTGGTGATGGGCACAAATACAACGTTCAATTGTGGCAGGATCTTAGAAATGCCTGGCTAACGCATATTTGCTTCTCCTTTTCTTTGCATAAGGGGGTGTGATCTGATCTGCGGGGCTCCCTGCGGGGCCCCGGGACCATCCACCCTCTGCTCCGGGCTCCAGTGGATGTAGGAGTTACACCTGGGGTTTCCCCACCCGAGTAGCTCCCCATTGCCGGCAGGAATGGGCGGTTCCCACTCGGAAAAGGAGGCGAAGGAGAAGCCAGCTGATCCTTTGCCGCAGTTCCCTTCCTACCCACAGAAGCTGCAGTTTGCTGAACGTTTCCTTTAGCAAAGGGGCCGTTGTTTCAGCAGGGACACGTTTGGGGTGGAGGCCACTATTCTTTCAGCCATCTGGTCCCACAAAGGATCATAACCTTTTCTATGGAGAAGGGTGGTGGCTGCCCCCACTACTCTCCCGTCCCCACCACTATGCCCAGAGACTTCACCCAGCTGCTACAATGCTCTGATAGATGGTATCTTCTCATCAACACTGCCAAGAGATCTCACCTATCTGTCATCCTCTCCTTAGCCTCGCCTTGTTTATTCATCTCTACTACTTTTTTAAAAGCTGCCGTCAATAATTCACTAACCACAATTTCTCTTGATTTCCCATACAAAATTGGCTCCTCTCTTCTTCTATGCAGTTGTTATTTCAGTAAAGCTTGCATCTCGGTAAATAAAACTCACACATAAGAAACTCTTCAATGACTTTCTTCACATGATTTATGGCAAGACAGGTTCTGCTAAAGGGGTGAGTCATTCAGCAAAGGGAGAGGAAAACTGTTCATTATGTATTTGTGAAATCCCCAAACCGCTGAAAAGGCACCATTTACCAACAAAAAGCATTGCAGGATGCACATGAACCAGCAAAGTAGGCAGAGCCCTTCCAGAAATGACTGTGACACGGGGCACCTTGGCGGCAGCCTCTCTTTCTCAGGATCCAGTATGTGACATTGAGTGGGAGGTGTGGGTTTCTCAGCTTCCATGCTGGCAGGATTTGCCCCAGAAATCAAAACTGCAAGATTTGTTCTGTCCCTCAGGGGAATACCAGAACAACCCGGGCTTTCCCTGCTTCAGCTGCAGCCTCCTCAGCTGCACACCCCTTAGCATCAACATCTAGAAAAAACAATGACCAGGATGCGCCTCAGCCTCAGAATCAAACCTGCTTCTCCACTTCAGCTGTGCTCCTCGCAGCTCAGATCAGAGGACGGCAGTCACTCCTTGAGCAGGCAGGACTGGCCACAGTGCTAGGATCTGGCCCAGGTTTGAATTCAAAACCTCCCGCCACCTGCCAGCTTATGGAAAACAAGTTCTGGTTCTGCCTCTACTCAAAATAAAACCACTCCCAGGAAGGCAGGCAGCTTGCACGCTCGTGCACAAACAGGGAGGATGTATATATGCCCCTATACACACACCCACACTGGCTCCTCGCTACCAGAAAAGACCTAGCCAGAAAGATCCAGCAGCAACAACACTAACAAATAAAATTTGCACAAGCCCCAAGTCCCTTGCTGTCCTCACAAGCTCTAAGCGCCGTGAAGAGCCACCGGCTGCCAAAGCCTGTTTCAGGAAAGGGAGTGCACGCACGCAGGAGCCACAGGTCGCTCAGGCAGTGGCACGGACCCAGCCAGCGCAAGAAGAGCAGAGCACCTTGCGTTTGCCTATCTGAGCACGTCGGGTCTGTCCCCTCAGTGCCAGCCTGGAGCAGAGGGACAAGACAATCGTTGTTGCAAGAGACGGAGAAGGAGCAAATCTCAGGGGATACTTACAGCATTCGATGGGGTTCGATGCTGCTTGCAGAGAAATGATCCTGCCGTTGGACTCGGGGATGTGCACGCGGACGCGGGTGTTCTCCCTGCCGATGTCTGTCTCTCCCTTGCGCAGCTCGATGTCTGCATTCCTCAGCTTCAAAATCCCCGCACAGTCAATGCTGCCAAACACATATGCCATTTAGCTTAACATTTCTGCTCTCAAGCAGCTTGGAAATAGGTGACACTCAAGAGGATTAAGCTGTTTTGCTTTGATCTCCGGGTTAAGAGCAGATACTTGTTCTGCTTCGGATGTAGATACTGCCATGTCAGCAGTTACAGGGGAAGAAATCCCAGGCACGCGGCGAGCGAGGGATGCTGCTGGACCCCCCTGCCCCTGAAGAGCCTGGGCCCGGTGGCTCAGCGCGTCCCAGGCACGTGCCAGCCGAGGGACAGGGGTGGCCTTTACGCTGGGAACAGCCGAAGCCGCTCTCCCGACACCGGAACCCCGAGCCTCACCTCCCGCGGGTCTGAGCGCAAGAGTGCGCGTGGCATCGCCCACCCCGGCCCCCGGGCCGGCGGAGTGAACCAGAACAAGAAGTGCCCTGGGACCGGCAAGAAGCTGAGCCCGTGCCGGAGCCCTCCGCGAGACAGAGAGCATTAAAGCCTCCCCCGCCAGCCCCGCCGCCAGCCCCGTGCCCGCACGCTGCACAGCAGCTATTGCTGCACGCGGGCGAATGAGTTCAGCTCCGCGGGGAATCCCAGCAGTCGAACCAGCTAATTGCGCGCACCATCCCGGCACGTCTTCCCCACAGTCTGTACGGGCGAGGGTTGGATTCAACTCCAAAGCAGGAACCAAACTGCTCTCCCCTCCTCTGGACAAGGTAGGCGCTTCTGCTAGAACTGGGCTCTCCAGCCCTGGCCTGGGTCACCGTGTCACCGTGTCATCCTCAGAGCCCTGGGACGCTGTTCCCAGCCAAGGCAATCGCCTGGCAGTGCAGAAAAGGGTTCTCTGCTCCCGTTCACCGTGTTCCCGCACAAAGGGAGGATGTAGGGAACAGGAGGGGGCTGAGCGGCAACGAAAGGATCAGGATTGCTTAAACCAGCATTGCAACTTACTATTGGTGTAAGTGCAGGTTAACGTCTGTGTTAGTCCGGTGTAACCTAGCAAACATGCCTCTCTGCATTAAGAGAATGTGCCAATTAATATTTACAGAGTCTGAGATCTTCAGCTCAGCAATAGTCCTCGGAGGGTGCACTGTTATTAGACAGGCACTGCCAATCCATTTTCATACCAGTTTTAGAGACATACCATTTTTCTTCTTTTGATATGAATTAAAATCACGTTTTGGGAGGCATAAACCCCAAGCTGTTTCCTACACCCACACTGTTCCTTGCCATTGCATGTGTGCAGGGGTTTATTACTCCAGGGTTTCTCGTTAGGAACACAGTCATGTTCCATTCAGCACTTGGCTGCTTAAGTTTGAGATGTGGACTTTTATTTATCTCTTTGGGTGCAGAGGGAAGGAGAGGCTTGAAGGAAAGGGAGGAATGAGGTATATTTTCTGAAAAAAAAAAAATCTATAAAGAAAGAATGTGGATTTTGCGATGAAGTAGGGGGGGCTTAAAAACATAGCTGCTCTGCCAATTTTGTCAGTATCCTCTGAAGGATGGAGATACAGCTCTTCCCTCTGCAGAGCAATCACTCTCATGCTGCCTGGCACACGTTCAAGCCTGAAGTTTCAGACTGGTGCCCACTTCATCCCTCTGCCTCCATAAAACTGGAAGGGGTAATACAGAAAAGATGTGTCTGTACTTGCTTTTCTGTTAATCTATTACAACAAGAGAGTGCAACTTCATGGCCAGAGCACTTGGCTGAGTTCAGGAGAGATGTTTTCTATTCCATTAAATGTTGTAAAATGAACCGTACACCTTTCCTCCGCTGTCTACTGCTCCTTGCTCCTCACTGCATCACTGCACCAAAAGGACTTGAGACTCAAGTCTCGTTTTCCTTAGTGCCCTGCAAAACCACTTGGACTTTGAAGATGCCAGATGATTACAGTATAGTCACCGTGGCTATTGGGGTAAAGAGCAAAAATGCCTGCACGGTCAGCTGGTGAACGGTAACTCTTTCAGCAGCTTTAACCCAGGTGCTTGTAACTGCTGCTCATGCTTTTGTAAAAAGGGTCTCACACTCATATATCACCCCGAAGCTCTGGAAACAGGACTCCCTCCAGAGCAGACATCATTATTCATTCAACTGACTCCTTTCCACAGCAGAAAGAACTTCACATACCAATTTAATCCTCCTCAACTTTGCTAATAAAAAAAAATATGCTTACGTTGCTTTCATGTTGTTTTTGGGTTCCAGTGGGATCTCTAAAACTTTGGTGTTGCCAATGATTTTTTCATAGCTGGTGGTGGTGACAGTTTTTCCCGTAATGCGATGGACTTGATAGAAAGCGTGAGGTTTAAGTATCCGTTCGTCTGCTGTCCCAATGAAGATCTGAAGACCCAAGGGTTTGTTCTCCATGTAACCGTGAAGCTGACAAGACATTAAAAATCTATTATCACAACAGGGCTTGCGATGCCTTCATGTCAGGAAACCAAATACATCTACAGATATGGAGATAGAGACATAAAGATATGTGTAGTACAGACTCTTTCCTACTCTCAGAGAGAGACATCCTCTTTAGAGTATTTGCTGGAGTCCACGATACATAGGGAAGGGAGCTAATGGAATAGCTATAATATATAGCTAGAGTTATAACACTAAATGTATCTAGAAGAAAAAAAGAATATAACAAGAAGAAAAAATGCCAGACAAGCTCTCCATTACCAGAAATTTGTTAGTTGTCTCCAAAACAGATTGATAAACCCCCTCAAAAGGTACATTTTTGAGTACACTTGTTTAATTTGCAGTTGCTGATTCCTAAAAGAGGTTCAAAAGATTTTTCTCTGTGGGGTGGATAAAGGTGCAAAGAGGAGCTGACTCCCCGCACCTGCAGCCTTGGGCAGCGCTTCCTGCTTCCCGTCCGCAGGAAACACAGTAAGGACAGAAGAAAGTCTCTCGCTTGCATGTATATACGTGGCATATATGTGGCACTCCCATATGCACCTTCTCCAGACCTTATCAAAGCTAACAGAAGATGCCCATCGACGCAGGGGACTTTAAATCAGTCCCTGTGTGACGTCCAACTTGCAAAGCCAAGTTTCTGTCCAGCCTAACAGTCAGTAAAATGACTTTGCCTCAGCTCAGCTTGTGATTCCTACTTCGAGTGCAGGTAAAAAATAAGGGGTTTTCCCCCCTAAACAGGAAGTATCTAGTGAACGTGTTTGCGATTTTGAGAACTGAAATGTTAAACGATGTATAAACATTTCAGAAATTAATGATCCCTGCCACATCCCTCTCTCTGGCCTCGGCAGTCCTGCCCCAGCTCCCACCCATTTCAAACCCCGCGGGAAGGACTGTCCTTCCAGCTCTCGCTTTGTCCGAGCCACCCTGAGCTTCACACCTCTCCTGCTTCGCCCGACTCCCTCATACCAGACGTAAGCTGCCTGCCTTCGTCTTCAGAGCTCTGCTCTTCTCTTTGCCCTCTCACCTCTCATTTTCTACCCAGTTATCAACACCTATTCCCAAACTTCCCAAATCCAGCCCCAAACACCAGCATCAACGTCTTAAACACTCAAGCGTTGCATTTTCTGCCCATCCGCCTCTTCCCCCAGGGAGGATGTTCCCTTTTGATATCTACATCTCCAGCCTACAAATCTCCTTATCTGCAGAATTCTTAGTCTTAAGAGGAAATATGTTCTTCTCCTGAAATCACGTATGTGGAGCGGTGCTGGTTCACTGATTCACTGCTCTTTGAAACTCATCCTTCCCCAGGTGGTGGTTCACCTTCAGCCGTTCCTTTGCTTTCCATCACAATACTACCTGCGTGGGTAGAGATGGCATTTTTGTCCTGTGACCGTACAGTACCTGGCACAAGGGCGTCTCAGCAGACCTCAGAGACGGGCGCCTCGAGGGTTAAGGACATAAACGGGCTCGTCTGTACTAAATAACATTTTTATAAACAGCATTTGCTGCAAGAGAAGCAAGAAAGCCAGAATGCCTCCATAGGCCAGGAGACGAGGAAATTTCTCCTTCTTTATTAACATTCAAAATTACAAATCAAACCATTCTAAATTTCTCACATAACCAAAAATGAAAACCAGACATTTATCTACCGCATAGCCAGTGATCTAGCTGAAAGGGAACTTTATGGTCTGAGACATGCTAAATTTGTTTTCAATTACTCCGTCCACATACAAAACCTTGATGAAGCCATACAAAGCAAATAGTACTGGAAGATCAGAGAAAGGGAAGATTAAGCTAATGGTATTCATGGCCAAACCGGTTTGTTTTTTTCCTTTTTTCTTTTCACCAGTCAGCGGGAGGTATCTTTGCATAGAAGGATTAATTCCCCCCTGGAAGGAGACCACATGCAGCATCAATGCAGTCCTGGCAATTTTCCTTCAGTATGGCAAATGTAAAGCGACACTCACTCTTCTGAGCTATCATTACTCATCTAGCACGTATTTGCAAGGCGTACAAAGACAGGGTCTATGCCCCAGAGACCTTACAACCCAAGGGCCCGAATGTGCAGCCTCCACTTACATGAATAGCTCCATTGAACTCAGCAGGCCTTAAGTAGGGCTTGTGCAAGAAAGAATTACTGAACCCAGCCCAGCCATGGCTCAGACACCTACGATAGCTCACTCGCACAAGCGCTTCGGGAGAGTGCGAGGAAGGGACACGGGGCACGAGGCTTTGTGCACACTTGCCAGTTGGCTCTGGGAGCGGGGTGGAGGGGGAGCGGAGCGGGACTCCACGCACGAGGGCTGGCACTGGGGAAGCAGCCTTGCCAAGAACGTGATAAATGCCAAGGCAGACATGGGGAGACGTGGAAATGTATGGAGTGTATAGAAGATTAAAGGCGACAGAGGTCAAAATGATAGATCTACCGGGAACAGGCCTGAATGCAGGAATCAGCCTCCGTTTACCCGCGGAGGCCCGTTAAGCCCAGGTCCTCTGGGAGCCAGACTGGAACACATCCTAAGCGTGGTGCTTTCAAAATCCAAGATTTCCTGGCCTTCAGTGAAAAGCCATTGTGTGACCAAAAGCCATCTTGTCTTCACGAGACGAGAGGGAGAAGAGAAGAGTAGTTTTTAAGTACTGAGCATGTTTATTGTCAAGCCTGACAGAGTAATGCTTTGTGGATCCAGCTAAGACGACACGAGCATCCTCTGGACCGATCGGCTATTACAGCGCGAGCAAAGCAGCTTTCGCTTCGCCCTCTGCCCAGGCAGAACAAAATCCCAGAGTTACAGGTGGGAGACTGGAACAGAGGAAAACAGATAATAAATTCCAAAAGATAATTTGCCCCCAGTGAGCACAGTCAGTAGCAGCTGTACCAGAACTGGTTACATACAGTTTGTAATACTGGCCACCTTGAAAAGTCATTTTAAGTGGGGTTTTTCTGCATGTATAGAATGAGCTCCCAAGGTAAAAGTACTCATGGTCTTCTAACAATATGTACGTCTGTGGGGGTGTGCCTGCATAAATGTATAGACACTTAAAGAAGAGGGGAATCGGCTGCCTGTTCGTATGGCAATGTTTGTATCATCGGCTGGGGAGGGGTATAAAACACACAGCAAAGGGCCGCCTGCTCCTGCCCAGGACCAGATTTCAAATCAACTGTTCGATCAGTGGAAGAAAGTAACATAATTATTTGGTAATTCATGACATTATGGCGATGCTTTGGGATGACATCACTGTAAAATCAAAATAGCATTATAAAATGCAAATACAAAGAGAAAAATATATGTAAGTATCCCCATTTAAAAGTCAAGTATCCCTGTCCTTATCTTGAGTTAATTGATTACGTTTTAAAGGATAATATAGGTGATCGTTCACCATAAGCATTTCCATCTACCTTTCACTTGCTAAGAACACATCAGGATGACTGAGGAACAAAAAATGAAGATGGACAGCCCATAGAAATGCTCCAGGAACTTTCAAATTGGAGTTTTACACCCCACTCTGCCACCGACTATACTGCACGGCTTTGGTCACGCCATACAACGGCTCTGTTTGCCCGTCCCAGGGGAACAGGGATGCTAACCCGACTTTGCAGGGACAGAAAAGAGTTAATACTGTGTGCTGCATTTTTATACAGAAAAATTCATTGTAAGCTAGAATGAAAGAACACATTAAAGCTCTGTTTCAGATATATATCTCTCCTCAAAATCGAACTATGAGAGACTGTTCCTCTCAATAACCACTCACCTCCACTATGCTAGGCAGCTGCTTTAGTATTTAACCACAACGCTGATCTTTTCTTTGGCGGAGCGAGGAAGGAGCAAAAGTGACCCTTAAAGAACCCTACAGAGAAGTGATGACTTAAAACGTCTTTTTAAATAATAACTTTGAAATTCATTTTTTTTCCTCCCTTAGCAACAACTAAGCCACTCGGAAGGCTCAGGGGAGGGCAGCTGGCCCTGCGGCACAATGCCCGGCAAGGGGGACCCCGCAGGGGGACACCCGGGACCAGCCCCGCGCCAAGGTGCTCCTTTACCCTTTTTCACTCTTCTTTCCGCGAAGAAAACGAAATCATCTAGGTTGCGGTTTCAAGAGAGTGAGAATCGAGAAAGATTTATGAATACAGAACTCTGGGAGGAAATATTTTTGTGTATTATAAGGTGACCTATTCACAATAAAACTCCCCCAAACTGTATACAGATCGAGCTGGAAAAGACCCAACTCCTTTGAGTCACATTTGCCACAAGGGGAAAGAGAAGCCAGACATGATGTGTACCTTTCCATACTCTATTTTGGGATTTTAAGATCCTATTTCTTTCAGTTGAAAGATTTTTCTTAAACTTTGCTTTTGCATAACTCTTACAATATTAACATAGCCAGACGTGGGCTGGTCTGTGACCTGAGGAAATGCAAAGCACTTTGGCAGATAAACAAATAACATCATTCAGAAAACAAGAAGACTTTTCTTGTTTGGTTTGCTGCTATGATTTGGTTTCTAAACAAAATGGAAATTTGTGGCACGATTAAAATCATCGGCTCCCTCTGCATAAATAAAATCCATTCATTCTGCACTCCTCCTGTGGATCAATACCAGTCAAATGTGAGGGGGGGTGGGTATTTAAGTGCCATGTTCAGGAAGGCACGTGTGTGATTCCGCATGCAAAGCCGAGCAGATGTGCCCGCAGTGCTGCGTATGGGCAGCCCCGCCACCCGCCCGAACACAATTCCTGTGACGGTACCGGCAACCGCAGCCATCGAGACCACACGGTTGGCATATGCAACAACGCTTTTTTTTTTCCTGCATTGTTTCAAAACTCAGGTCTTCTTACACACTGAGTCCCCAGCTCCAAATATACAAGCAGATAAAGCGGGAGTTTGAAATTCAAATCTAAATCAGTCGCCACCCCCGTGTTCAGACGAACCAAACCCTGGATCCGCAGAGTTCACATCGCCTCTGGCTGCGG